TCAGTAGCAGCGGGCGAAAGACCAAGAAGGTGGCGAAGCACACCAACAGGTCTAGCACCTCCAGCAGAAGCAGCTCCAGCACCTCCAGCACCAGCAGCTCCAGCACCAACAGCTCCAGTACCTCCAGCACCAGCAGCACCTCTAGCACCAGCAGCTCTAGCACCTCCAGTACTAGCAGCACCTCCAGCACCAGCAACTCTAGGACCTCCAGCACCAGCAACACCTCCAGCACCACCGACACCAGCAGCTCCAGCACCTCCAGCACCAGCAGCACTGTCAGCACCTCCACTAGTATCTCCAGCAACTCCAGCACCAGCAGTACCTCTAGTAGTACCTTTAGCACCTCCAGTACCAGCAGTACCTCCAGGACTAGTAGCTCCAGTACTAGCAGCACCGTACCCTCCTCCACCAAGACTGCCTCCTTGAACGATCCACGTACGAATCTGCTGCGACGAGAGCGTCTCGAGTAGACCAGGCTACTGTGGTTGTCCAGCTCCAGGGCCTCCAGCCGGGTCAGCCCCAGCTCCAGCGTCACTAGGACTCGCAGCACCCTCAGAGTCAGCACTTCCAATCGCAGCACCCCCAGAACCCTCACCCTCTGTCTCAGCACCCCAAGAACCCTCACCCCCAGTGTCACCACCAGCAGCACCAGGCTGCTGAGGCGGCGAAGACAGCCTCCGTGGAAAACCAGGGGGGGTCTCCAAGCGAGGAGAGCGACGAGTGCTCGCCGTGTCGTCCGCGGCGGGGTCACCCCCCTTTGCTGGGCCAGAGGAGTCATAAGAGATCTCCACAAGCTCATCCAAGGGGGGTGGGTCTACCTGAGACACACCTGAAGGAGCAGGACCCTGTGGGGGAAGTGAGTCTACCGGGGGGGGGGACTCGTACCAGGAAGAGAGGCGCTAAGGGGACCAGGTGGGACGCGTGCGGGTGTAGCTTGTAGAAACAGACAGACTCGTCAAAGGTGATGTTCTGGGAGGAGAAGACTCGATGCGAACGCGGGTGGTGCCACGGCGGGGCGTCGGTGGGGAAGCCAAGGAAGACGCAGCGAAGAGTGCGAGAGAAGATCTTGCTCGCTTTGGCATCGCGAACAAGGGAAAGCACGCCCCAAACCCGAAACACCGATGCATCGCCAGGCTTCCCCGTCCACCGGAGTGTGGGCGAGGTCTCTGGCTCAGAGACACGGGGCTAGAGGTTGAGCTGATGCGCAGCGTATCGGACTGCAGACGACCACAGAAAATGGGGAGCAGCCGCATGGATCATGGAGGTACGAGCAACTCCCATGATCAAGCCAATGCGATTCTCAGCAATCCCATTTTGCTGAGGAGAAGCCGGAAGCGTGAACGTCTGGCGGATGCCATCGTCTCGACAGAACTCCTCAAGGAGGCCAGAAGAGAACCCACCGCCCCTGTCATAGTGCAGACGCAGGACTGGGAAGTCCCGCTGAAACCTCTCACGCAGCTGGTGACGAGTAGCACGAATCCAGGGGATCAAAACACCGCTGACGTCCGCCTTGCGCCGCAAGGGGAAGACAGTGGTGTAGCGTGTGTAGTCGTCAACCACCAGGAGGAAGTAGCGCTCCTGGTCCGTTCCACTGACGGGGGCCGGGCTTCACACGTCCATGTGGAGAGTCTGCAGAGGAGCAGTGGTGTGAGGAAACTCTGAGGAGTGAGGAGCAGCACGCTGCCGCCCCTCGACGCAGGGAAGGCACGGCGGTGCAGGCTAGCGTGGGAGGGAGGGCAGGGACCTGGGAAGGTCAGAGACAAGGAGACGAGAGTGCATGCTGCGGAGACGCGGCAGCGAGGGGTCACCGAGGCGGTGGTGCCAGAGGAGAGTCTGGTGAGAGAGTACCCGACACGAGCAAGACGCTGCCAGCTGACCAGACGCAGACACCCGACTCGACGCAGCCACCTGACCGGACTCAGCCACCTGTGCAGACGCAGTGGTCAGTGTGTACAGACCGGACCCAAGCTGACAAGTGAATGTAGCAAGGTGACGGCTAGTCCGTGAGCACGTACAGATCGCCACACAGTGTCCTCCAGGAATGAAGGTGTAAACCCATACATCCTGGAGAACTGCGTTGCTCAACAAGATCGTCGAGAACGCGGGGAGGTGGAGACCTTATAGAGACCCGGAGGGGACTGCCGGACATGGGAGGACAGTGGAGGCTCGCGCAACTACTGGGCCCCCAGTGGGGTCAGCCAGTGAGACTGGGACAGGTGCTGCGAGTGGTGTGACTGTGGTGCAATCACGAAAGAAGCAACGTGACGCGCCTGAGTCAAGTGTGAAAGTGTGCAAGGCATCAGCTGAGGCAAGACTTGTGGCAGCAGACGCACTAGCACCTAGAGCGTCGGCAGACTCACGAGCACCTAGAGCTGCAGTAGACTCACTAGCACCTGGAGCGGCAACAGAATCACAAGAACTGAGAGCAGCAGCCTCTACACAACCAGGGACGCATCGCTGAGAAACACAGGCGCGAAGCCGCTGCAGGGAGAACGTGCTCTTCTGACACTACTGCCGCCGCTATGCAGTACCCATAAAACCAAAACCTCCACCACCAGGACTGCCTTGCTGAATAACCCACTCACGAGGCTGCTGAGGGGTGGGGTTGTCCGGGAGAGGCAGTGACTGCTGCTGTCCACCCCTAGCTGCTGCAACTACCGTGATAGTGGCCATGGCAGGCAGTGACGGTCAGGAGCAGGTCCAGCTCCTCCAGCACCAGCAGCACCTCTAGCACTCCCAGCAGCACCTCCAGCACCAACAGCACCTCCAGCACTCCCAACAGCACCTCCACCAGCAACAGCAGTAGCACGAGCAGCAGCAGCAGCAGCAGCAGTAGTAGCAGCAGGGCGGCTCGGTGGGGCTGGCGAATGAGGCAGGGCGGCGCGGCTCGGGTTGGGCAGCGCGGCTCGGGCTGGGCGGCGCGGCTCGGCCTTGGCGGCGCGGCTGGGCAGGGCTGGGCAGCGCGGCTGGGCAAGGCAGGGCGCGCCGCGGGCTGCAGGACAGGGCGCGCGGGCCTAAGGGCAGGGCAGCGCGATGCACGGGCTGCAGGGCAGCTGGGCGCGCGCTGGACAGGGCAGCAGGGCGCGACGCGCTGGGCGGCAGGGCGCGACGCGCGGGGTGCAGCAGGGCGCGACGTGCGGGGCAGTAGGGTGCGAAGCGCGGGCTGCAGGGCGCGACGCACGGGCTGCAGCAGGGCGCGATGCGCGGGGCATAGGGGCGCGCGCTGGGCAGGGCAGCAGGGCGCGACGCACTGGGCTGCAGGGCAGGGCAGTGCACGGGCTTAAGGGCAGAGCAGCGCGGCTCGCGAGCTGCAGGGCAGGGCGGCGCGCGGGCCTAAGGGCAGGGCAGCGCGATGCACGGGCTGCAAGGCAGGGCGGCGCTCGCTGGGCAGGGCAGCAGGGCGCGACTCGCAGGCTGCAGCAGGGCGCGATGTGTGGGCTGCAGGGCGCGACGCGCGGGCTGCAGCAGGGGAGCGCGCTAGGGCAGGTAGTGCGAGTAGCTGCAGGGCAGCGCGACACTGTGCGAGCAGGGCCGGATAGCGCAAGGGCGCTTTGGGCAGGAACTAGCAGAACTATCGGTGGGCCATAAAAATGTAACAGGTTTCCTGCTCTGAATACCATATCAGAGTCAACTGTGCAGGAATGATTGACTAACAAGCAAGGATGAGTACAAGTACTAGGATTGACCTAAAGTGTTGTACTCAGTAGAGGCTACCCCACTACAACCTACACATACAAATATAATTTGACACAAAACATATTAAGGAAACCTAGCTGGGTGGGGCCACAGGGCTGGGCATGCAATGCCCAAAGCCTCTCTGCGACGCCCTAAGCCCCTAGGAAGTCTACTGTATTTGGTAAAGTGTGCTATGGATACCTAAGACTGAACACTCCATAACCACCTTATTCATGCATAAACCTAATAGGCATTCCGTTTCCTAGCCACTGTACTATTGCAGACTGTACTGAGACTCCACGAACTGTTATGTTCGTCCACCAGTTGTAGCATAGCGCTACGTGTAACATTCCAGGTCGCACAAACGCAGCGACAGTGTTTCCGCTTCGAATAACCCTATCCAGCTCGTCATGCAAAACCGACGCCGCAGCAAACAGCGTGTGCCTCTCTCCCGACGTGCACCGATTTGTCTTCCACACAACCTTGCTCCACTCCCTTCTCTTTATCATCCCCATAGGTGCCCACGACACTTCTTGTAAGCAGTCGCCAGCATATGTATGGTTATTGGGTAACAGCCCGCCAATCATGTTCGCGTTAATGTCAAAGAATGCACGGAACAGAAATATCGGGGTTGCAACGTTTCGCAGTATGTATTGCGGAAAGAAACACTTCCAATGATCAGCCTCCAGTAAGGCTGACGAGTTATATGGAAATGGGAGAAGAGGTGGGGGAGAGTAGGAGGGAGATGTAGGGATGGTGTGGAAACGGCAATGACACAGGGAAAGGGGATGGGAGTGAGGGGAGGAAGCATTAGGAAGATGGAAAGAGGTAGTAGAGGACAAGAGGACAGGAGTTGGGGGACGTGGCCAAGGAGGGAACGAGAAGTGAGATTATTAAAGTAAACGTGGAAGGCAAAGCTTCCTGCACAGATGGATGGAAGCCGATATACAGAAGCTCCCGTGCTGATATAAAACCCCACTGTAACGGAATCTGATTACAAAATCCACATAAAACCCCTCTCTCGAAAACTTTTGAGTAGTCTCAAAAGTTGAATCCACATCCAACCCCTCTCAGGAAACATTTTCTATACCAGCAAACCCATAGCAGGCAGCACCTCGTGCTGATGTATGCCATGTTTCACGGCTCATCTCAAGCCGCTCTTTTGTCATATCCCGTCTCACCCTGCATGCAAGCAGGCCAGCCGGGCTTGTGCAGATCAACCAGGCTCCGAGCATAGGCACGGCATGTGGTAACCCTGTAACCCAATCCATGCATTTCATCTCATCTCACCATGCATGCAAGCAGGCCAGCTGGGCTTGTGCAGATTAACCAGGCTCTGTGCGTTGGCACGCCACGTGTTCCCTCCCTTTCGGTCCTTGGAATCTGAAAATCGTATCGTGTGGGGGATGGGGCATACAAGGGGAAGTTGGGGAGGGGGGGAGCACGGGAGGAATGGGGGAAACGGCTCTCAGAAGAGCAGAGACACGCCACGTGTTCCCTCCCTCTCGGTCCTTGGAATCTGAAAAGTGTAATGTGTGGGGGATGGGGGATAGAAGGGGAAGTTGGGGAGGGGGGTAGCAGAGGCCAAAGAGGGGGGAGTGGTCTTTCAATACTGTAAAGAAGCCAATAATGTAACCCAATGTAACGAGGTGACTCTTGAGTCAACACAAACGTCACCTCGTTTTGAGTCGACTCAAAAGTCGCCTCGTTACTATGGGAGCGGCTCTTTCAATATTGTAAAGAAGCCAATAATGTAACCCGACCCTCCAGTGAAGAACCCTGAGCCTGGGATGCATTATGCTCACTGGGGACCCACCATAATGCATTTAGTTGCTGCTCGGGGGAAGGTGGGATGCGGTTGGGGCAGAAGAGAATGAAGGTTCACCAACAAAGAAGCCCGAGTCGGAGACGCATTTAGCTGCCGCCCAGGAAAGACCCCTAGCCTGAATCTGACTACACAGGCTCACCAATGAAGAAGCCCGAGTCGGAGACGCATTTAGTTGCCGCCCAGGGGAAAGCGCCGGCGATGCGATCGCAGAGCGCCACGGCTGCTTGGCCGCCCGCTGAGCTGCCCACGAGGAGGATCTGATCCGCGGATCTGATTCCCTGCTTGGATTTCAGATCTGATTGCGTTCGGGCGAGGGGTTGTCAAGGAAAGGGTGAGGGTGAGTAAGCGGCAAGATGTGGGGCAAGGCAAAGGGAGGGAGACGTAACAGATTCAGTCGAGTGAAGGAACCAAAGAGTGGCAGAATTCAAAAAGAGGGATGAAAGATGGGCGACAGAAGTCCCGTCACCTACTCAGGCTCAGGCATTCCAGCAACACACCTTGAATCACAGCTTGAACGATCTTCCACCCATCCAGGTAAATCGTGGTGCTGTTACCATTGCTCCCAACCTCCACCCTCCCTGCCGTGCCTGAGTAGCCGCCACCGTCGCAGTAGATGAGACGAACGAGGTTCCAGTTGTGGAAGTGCGGGTTGATGCTGCTGTTGCTGCTGAGCATGCCATAGAAACCCGGAGAGAGGTTCTGAAGAGGGGAATGGGGGAGGGGCGGAGGGGACAAGAAGGACGAACAAGGTTCCAGCTGTGAAATTGCGGCCTCATTGCTGCTGTTGAGAATGCCGTTGAAACCCGGCGAGAGGTTCTGAAGCAGGGAGGGGGAAAGGGGACTCCCGCACTCGGAGTGAGTGCGGGAGACGAACGAAAGGGGAAAACGAGGTTCCAGCTATGGAAGTGTGGGTTGACTTCACTGCTGCTGCTGAGAATGCCCTTGAAATCCGGAAAGAGGTTCTGAAGGCGGGAATGGGGGCGGGGAGGGGGAAAGGGGAGTGCGGGAGACGAACGAAAGGGGCGAACAAGGTTCCAGTTGTGAAATTGCGGGTTGTCTTCACTGTTGCTGCCGAGAATGCCCTTGAAATCCGGGAAGAGGTTCTGTGTTGGTATAGAGGGGTTGGAAGGTGCAGGCAAGGAGCGAGTTTTATGGCCCGTTGCCGCATCAACCAGCCCGGAGCAGCATTCCGCGTTGGTGGGGGCTTGAGGAACGAATGTGCTGCTGCCGCCGTGCGGATAGCAGCAGGGTGGGCCCTTCGGGATAACGACGTGTATGAAGAAGTGTTCTGAGACGTCTCAAAACACTTATTTATACAGAGGAAGCGTCTTCAGCATAACGTACCGCGTTGGGGGGATCATGAGGATAGAAGGTGCTGCTGCCGAGTGGCGCCTTGGGCGGGGAGGGAGGCTTTAAGGGGTAGAGAGCAGCGTACCACGTTGGTGGGGTCTTGAGGATAGAAGGTGCTGCTGCCGAGATACGCCTTGCTCCTGCGGAGGCACTGGTCAGGCGAGAAGCACCATCCCCCGTGCGGCAGGTAGATGTGCCACATGCTCTTGCCGCTGCCCGTGCCCGGCCGGAAATAGTACCCTGGGGGGCTGGGGAGCGGAGGTCGGGTAGGAGAGGAGGGGTTCGGAGGGGAGAGGAGGGGAGAGGAGGGGAGAGGAGGGGAGAGGAGGGGAGAGGAGGGGAGAGGAGGGGAGAGGAGGGGAGAGACAGGGGGATGGAGGGCCGGGAAAGGAGGAGGGGTTGGAGGGATCGCAGGGGAAGGAGGCGCTGCTGCCTGTCGCTTCGCTTTTCATCCCCTCTCTCCCCACCTTTTCCCTTCCGCGTTTCCCCCCTTCCCGACCTCCCGTCACGGCATTTCGCGTCCAGGGATATTTTCGCCAGCAGTTCGCTAACAGAACGAATTGCTTCGTTTCTCTTCGCTTTCTCCCCACTCTCGAGCCCCCTCCTTCTTTATCCATTTACCCCCTCCCCTTCCCCTTCCCCCCAGCCTTTCCGCTCCAAATCGTACCTCCCGTCGAGGCATTTCGCGTCGAACGAGTTATTCGCCAGCAAAACGAGCCGTGGCGTGGCCGGCGGCGCCACCGCCGGCGGCAGAGGCGGATTTCCCGCAACAGGTACTACTGCAGCGAGTAGCGACACCGCGAGTAGCGACAGGAGGTACTGCAGGGACACCGCGACAGCGTTAATCTTCGAGCCGCCGAAAATTATCATCCATCCCGCCGCTTTATCGCTGGAAGAAGCAATTTTTCCACCAGACGCCGGTTCAAACGGCGACGAAGCGTGGGTGCTGAATCCACGGCGGCTGTACGCGGTAACAACAGTACCGCTAGTCGTTGAAGCGCGTGACCGAAGCTTGGTGAATGCAGCCATTGTAGTTCGGCTTAGGGTAAAAGCAGCCAGATACTTTTCGCAACGTATCCGCAATTTCCAGCAGAGTTCCCACTTTTAAGTCCGTTTTGGGCAGAAACCTTTCCGCGATGCACGGAGGAGTTAGCAAAAGGCCACACTGTCACAGTACCGTTCCGGGAAAAGCGTCATATGCCGGGGAGCACTAACTGCGCTTGTTTTATATGCGCGAGCTGTGGCACGGATGGATAAGAACCGCACAGCTTTGGTGACACGGCTCGAGCCGGCTGCTAGAGACTAGTAAGTTCGTCACAATCCGCAACGGTTGCGGGGTTTGCTCAGAAACCGGATTCTGTTTTGCACGCATGATCCAACAACCAAGGGACGTGGGGGGTACTTCCATATCCAGTTCAAATCGGTGGTACGCGGTGAAAATCGGTTTCGCTCGTTCACCGCTTGAAAGCTTGACATTTCAGAAACGTGAACCTGCGACCGGATAATCAATCTCCATCTAGCAGCGCTTCGGGAACGGTTTGGCAAATTGAGCCAGCGACTCGGTCTTAGCCGGCGAACGGAATCGCGAATTATGCCGGCGAATTTAGATAACCCAGATCGCGACATTGCGCTGCGAGCAGGGAACTTCTAGGTCTGCTGAGAGCAGACTGACGGATCATTCCCGCCAATTTTTCAGAAAACGTATACCTTAACTCCCAACTCGCTAAATTGATGGGAAGGAGCACTAGAGATGTACTGCAAGCTTGGTAATTTATGCTGATATAGGAGTGGTGTTTGGATGCTTTACCCTCACAATTCACACCTCTGACCATGAGAACTAAACAAATCTGCACAATGGAAAAATACACGAACTCATACATTGTGAGAACTTCAACATGTTCATTTCCCTAGCAGGTTCCTACAGTTATTCAATTAAAACAACTAGAAGGACCAGGGTGGGGGCTAGCGCTGCAATTGCCCAAATGTCTGACAGTAGTACAATTCATGGTAGCGCACATTCATGGTTGGTAGTACTCGCAACTCAAGCACGTGTGACGGTATGGTTGCATTGCGTTTGCAAGTGTACCTGCTAGGCCATTCTGAACAGAGTATTGTTTTTTGTGCAGAATAGATACATGGACAGATGATGGCATGCATGGATACCAAAAATTATGAACACTTCATCAGTGGCCTACTTTCAGAAACTAAACACAGCGGAATGGGTTGGATTGATTGGGTTGGGGTACAAATGCCTAACCTGTCAAACTTATATGCAATAGTCTGTGTAGACTGTAGTGGGGTAGATAATATGGGGTACAACGCTTTTAGGTTTTCCTACTTGTACCCACCTGTTTCCTACTGCATTCATTCCTCATTCTTTCACATGGTATAAAGCAGGTTCCCTAGTGGGAACGTTTCCTAGGGCCCACCGAAAATCGAAAAAAAAAAAAAAATTCATGCCCGGAGCGCGCTTCGCCCCTGCCCGAGTCGCGCCTCGTGTGCCTGACCTCCCGTCGCGTCCCCTGCCCTTAGCGGCCCGTCGCGTCCCCTGCCCTTAGCGGCGCGTCGCGCCCTCTTACGGCCCCTCGCGGCCCCTTAGCCGCTCCCTCGCGGCCCCTCTCACGGCCCCTCGCGGCCCCTTCCCGGCTCCCTCGCGGCCCCTCCCACGGCCCCTCGCGGCCCCTCGCGACCCCTATCACGGCCCTTCGCGGCCCCTCGCGGCCCCTCGCGGCCCCTCACACGGCCCCTCGAGGCCCCGCGGCCCCTTCTCAGCCGCCGCCGCCCCTGCCCCGGCCGCAGCAGCCGCCGCCGCCGCCGCCGACAGCAGCTGCCGCCGCCGCCGCCGACAGCAGCAGCCGCCGCCGCCGACGCCGACACCAGCAGCCGCTGCCACCACCACCCCTGCCCGTCGCGGCACCCTCGCCCCTGGGGACCTTCGCACGCCCCCCGCGATCCCGTTGCGTCGCCCTAGGGACCCGCGCGCAGCCCTTGCCATCCCGGTGCGCCACCCCGTGGGACCCGTGCGCCGCCCCCGTGGACCCGCACGTCGCTCTGCGGCCCCCCTCCCCGCACACCTAAGTTCGCTTACCGCACACCCGCGTTCGCTTCACGCACGCTTGTGCACGCTTCGCGCACACCTGAGCTCGCTTACCGCACACTCAGGGTATGGGGGTGACGGGTATGGGGGTGGCGGGTGTGTGAGCCCTCCCCGGCTCCTCCTCCTCCTCCGTCTCCCACTGCTGTAGCCGCCGCTGCTGCAGCTGCCCCTGGCCCCTGGAGCAGCCGCCCCTGTAGCAGCCGCCCCTGACCTCTGGAGCAGCAGTCCCTGCAGCAGCCGCGTAGCCCTCGCCCTTCGGTGGTAGCGGCCTCAACATTGCCGCTGTTGTACTCCAGCCGTTCTTGCCACTGGTGAGCTCTGCTGTTACTGCTGTTACTGCTGCTTTTGCTACTACTGCACTTTCTACTGCTACTGCTGCTCCTGGCGTGGCCAGATGCAGCTCTTGCGCCGTCCGCGTGAGTCCCTCGCCCCCCATCAGCTTCGTGAGTGGTACGCTAGTTGGGGTTGTAGGGGTGGCCGCACTGCTACTGCTGCTACTGCTGCCACTGCGGCTACCACTGCTCCTGCTGCCCCAGGCGGTGGCCAGATGCAGCTCCAGCGACGTCCGCGTGAGTCCCTCACGCCCCAGCAGCTTCGTGAGTGGTACGCTACTTGGGGTTGTCGGGGTGGCTGTAGTGAGAGTCGTTCTGGCGTGAGTAGTTTGGGAGCTGCCTGTCGTGGCCAGGTGCAGCTGCAGCGTAGTCCGCGCGAGGTCCTTTTGCCCCAGCAGCTTCGTGAGTGGTACGCTCAGCGTGGAGGGTCACGGAGTACTGCTCGCTGTCCGTACGACATTCGCACTGGTGCTCGGACTGGTCAGCCTTGCGGGACGTTTGGTCACGCAGAGTCCCGCTGCTTCGCCCGTCTGAGCGACGCCTAGCGTACGGAGTTTGGCGACGCCGCTGAGCTCCCCGACTGTGTGGAGATGCTTAGGCAGAGGGTCGATATCTATGCTCTTGACTATGATGCTATGCTCACTTCCATGTATGCATTGCCTACTAGTGATGTGGGTGACTGTTACCTGTGTGTTCCACCTGACCCAGGCATTGAGGCTGCTACTTTAGGTGCAAGTGAGGCTGCTGCTCTACGTGCTAGTGCGTCTACTCCTCCAGGTGCTGGTGAGTCTGCTGCCCCAGGTGCTGGTGAGTCTGCTCTCTCAGGTACCACGTCGGCTCAGGTTTTACACACCTTCACCCTTGACTCGGGTGCTTCCCGCTCCTTCTTTCGAGACCGCACCACACTCACGCCGCTCAGTCGGCCGGTTGCAGTCTCCCTGGCAGACCCCTCTGGGGGTCCTGTCCTTGCCTACTTCTCCACTGTCTTACCGTGTCCGGCGGCCCCTTCTGGCTCCATGTCAGGTCTTTACCTCCCCTCATTCTCTACGAATTTGGTGAGTGGTGCTGACCTATAGTATGGAGGGGTTGACCAGTTCACTCCTGCGCGTCAGCGAGTGACCCACTGTACGTGTGCTCGCACTGGCCGACACTTGGCCACGTTTACCCGTCAGCCAGGGTCGAGCCTGTACACACTAAATACTGAGTCGAGTCAGGTATTTCCTGCAGCGTCCAGGTCTGGTCCTGAGTCTGCCCCCTGCTCGTGTCGTCTCCTGTCTCACCAGACTCTCCTCTGGCACCACCGCCTTGGTCACCCCTCCCTACCTCGTCTCCAAGGCATGGCTTCTCGTTTCCTTGTCTCGGGTCTCCCCCGGTCCCTCCCTTCTCTTCCTCCGGGGCCTGCCCCTGCCTGCGTCCCCTGCGTTGAGGGGCGGCAGCGCGCCGCTCCTCACTCCTCCGAGTTTCCTCCGACAGAGGCTCCGCTGCAGACGCTTCACATGGACGTGTGGGGCCCAACCCGCGTCCGTGGATAGGGTCACGAGCGTTACTTCCTGCTGGTGGTTGACGACTACTCGCGTTACACCACAGTCTTCCCTTTGCGTAGCAAGGGTGAGGACACTGAGGTGTTGATCGACTGGATCCGCGCAGCTCGTCTCCAGCTCAGAGAGAGTTTCGGCTCGGACTTTCCTGTCGTGCGTCTGCACTCCGATAGAGGAGGTGAGTTTTCCACTGACCTTCTGCGAGCCTTCTGTCGTGCACAGGGCATCCGCCAGACCTTCACGCTTCCAGCCTCTCCACAGCAAAATGGGATTGCTGAGCGCCGCATTGGCATGGTCATGGACGTCGCTCGTACGTCCATGATCCATGCGGCTGCTCCCCATTTTCTGTGGCCGTTTGCGGTTTAGTACGCGGCGCATCAGATCAACCTTCAGCCCCGGGTCTCCTTGCCGGAGACCTCCCCTACTCTGCGGTGGACGGGGAAGGTTGGCGATGCGTCTGCGTTTCATGTCTGGGGATCTCGGGCTTTTGTCCGCGACTTGTCTGCCGACAAGCGGTCCCCCCGTACTGTTCCCTGCGTCTTCCTTGGCTTCCCCCCTGACGCGCCTGGTTGGCAGTTTTACCACCCCACCTCACGCCGTGTTCTCTCCTCCCAGGACGTCACGTTTAACGAGTCGGTCCCCTTCTACCGTCTCTTCCCCTACCGCACTGCCCCGCTCCCCCCTCCGCCGCTCTTCCTCACGCCAGGTGCTGCCTTGGTAGACCCCTTGCCTCCCCAGGGTCCCGCTCCCTCAGGTGTTTCCCAGGTAGACCCGGTCGAGCCTGTCAAGGTAGCTGTCGACTCTGGTCCTACGCGAGGTACTGAGCGTGTTGAGCCTGGTGGTGCTGGGTCTGGAGGTACTACGCCTAGGAGTGCTGAGTCTGGGGGTGCGGAGACTGGGGGTGCTGCGCCTGGGGGTGCGCGAACTGCGGGTGCTGAGCGTGGGGGTGGCAAGACTGCAGGTGCTGAGCCTGGGGGTGCTGTCCCTGTGGGTGCTGGGTCTGGAGGTCCTGAGCCTGGGGGTACTGCGCTTGGGGGCGCTCTTTCTTCCCAGCAGCTGCGTGAGTGGTACTCTCGGTACTGTCGCAGCTTCCGTGGTGCTGCTGGAGCTGGAGCTGAGGGCGCTGAGCCTACTGGAGTTGGTGTTGCTGCTGACCCTGGGGTCGGCGCTGGAGGTGCTGGAGCCACTGGTCCTGGAGGTGCTCGTACTGGCAACACTGGAGCTGCTGGGACTGGAGGTGCTGCTGGGACTGCTGGAGCTGGTCCTACTGGAGGTGCTGCTAGTGCTGCTGGAGGTACTGGAGCTGCTGGTGCTGCTAGGGGTACTGCAGTTGCTGGGCATGGAGTTGCTCCTGGTGCTCAAGCTGGCGGTCCTGCTAGAGAAGGTGCTGCTGGAGCTGCTGGAGCTGGAGATGCTCGGGGTGTTGGCGCTGGAGGTGCTGCTGACGCTGGTGCTTCTGAAGGTGCTGGAGTTGGCGCTGCTGGAGCTGGAGGTGCTGCTGGCGCTGGTGCTGCCGCTGGGGGTACTGGTGCTGTCCCTGCTGCTTCTGGAGGCGCTGCGCGGCCGCGGCCGTACTTCGTTCCGCTCCTTGAGCAGGTTCTTGGTCTCCCGCCTTCTACTGGTCCTGCTCCCCCCTTAGAGTGTCCACAGCCTGACCAGTCGCATTCACAGTTACAGCCCGCCTCCCCACTGCCTGCTCCTTCTCCCTACACTGGTCCTACTAAAGGTCTTGCTGAGCGTCGTGCCCCTGCGTCTCGTCCTGCGTCGCCTGTTCGTGCTGCTCGCACTAGTAGTCGTGTTCCGCGTCCGCGTCCACGTCCTCCTGCGGTCCCAGGCACACACCAGATGGCACTGCGTCCTTCCACTGCTCCTCTGCGTGTCCCGTTGCCGTCTCCTCAAGAGTCCTCTCTTCCTATTCTTGCTGACCCAGAGTCTCACTCTCTTCGTGCTGCCAGTCCTACTGTCACGCGTTTCCTGGCTACTAAAGTCACTGACCCTTCCTTCGAGTCCACTGCTGCGTCTGCCTTAGTTGCTGAGCTTGTCGGCTTCGCTGCTCAGTGTCGTATAGACTACGCTGCTAGTCGTGTTGCTGAGTCTGAGTCTGTCTGTCCTCCGTCCGTCGGGGGTGAGTGTGCTCTTAGCACGGACGTTCTTGAGGACAGGCAGGAGGAGTTCCAGTGTCTTGCTGCTGCTTTGCCTCATCTCGTGTCCATGCTCATAGCCCCTGAGGGAGACACGGATGCACCAGACATCCCGACTCCGCGCTCTTACGCAGAGGCGATAGAGGGTCCCTACTCCTCCTAGTGGCAGTCAGCCATGGACGTAGAGATGGCTTTCTAGAAGTCCACAGGCACCTACGTCTACGAGGTTCCCCCACCTGGGGCGAACATCGTCAGTGGCATGTGGATTTTCAGGGTGAAGCGGCCGCCGGGTTCTCCGCCTGTCTTCAAGGCGCATTACGTGGCTCGAGGCTTCAGTCAGCGGTAGGGAGTTGACTACTTTCAGACCCTCTCTCCCACCCCGAAGATGACCACTCTTTGGGTGCTGCTGCACATAGCCGCTCAGCGCGACTACGAGCTTCACTCTCTTGACTTCAACACAACTTTCTTGCAGGGCAGCCTGCACGAGGAGATCTGGCTGCGCCGCCCACCTGGCTTTACTGGGTCGTTTCCTCCTGGCACCCAGTGGAGCCTACGGCGGCCAGTCTACAGTCTCCGCCAGGCGCCCCGTGAGTGGCACGACACACTGAGAACTACACTTGCGGCTCTTGGCTTTGCTCCTTCTACTGCCGACCCGTCGCTGTTTCTACGCACCGACACCTCTTTGCCGCCGTTCTACATCCTCGTGTACGTCGACGACTTGGTCTTTGCCACTGCTGGACTCGCCCACGTGAAGTTAGAGCTGCAGAAGAGACACACGTGCACAGACCTGGGTAAACTGCGCAGCTACCTTGGCTTGCAGATCACCCGGGACAGAGCACAGTGCACCATTACCCTGACTCAGTCACACATGGTGCAGCAGGTCCTTCGGCGCTTCGACTTCACGTACTCCTCGCCTGAGGCCACTCCTCTGCCTACTCGCCACTCGCTCTCAGCTCTGCCTTCGGATGAGTCCGTAGAGCCGAGTGGCCCATACCCAGAGCTTGTTGGCTGCCTCATGTACGTGATGACCTGCACTCGACCTGACCTTGTATACCCTCTTAGCATCTTGGCATGCTATGTTGCTCCTGGGAGACACCGACCAGAGCACATGGCTGCAGCAAAGAGGGTGTTGCGTTACTTGTGCAGTACGTCGGCATGGGGCTAGTGCTTGGAGGGCGGCGTTCAATGGCCCTCACAGGTCACGAAGACGCTTCTTGGGCTGACGACCAGGCTACGCAGCGGTCGTCACAGGGTTACACCTTCAGCCTTGGTTCCGGCTCTGTTTCGTGGCGGTCTACCCGCTCGTCTTCTGTTCTCGGCTCCAGCTGTAAGGCTGAGATCTATGCGGGGGCCATGGCTGCACAGGAGCTACGCTGGCTCACCTACCTGCCGACTGACCTAGGAGAGCCGCCTCGTTCTCCTCCAGTTCTGTACGTAGACAACAAGGCCATGCTGGCCTTGTGTCGGGAGCACAGACTGGAGCACATAACGAAGCACATTGCTCTTCGCTACTTCCTTGCTCGTGAGCTGCAGCAGCGTGGTCAGCTGGGCCTTGCTTACGTGGCCTCTGAGGCCAACACTGCTGATATCTTTACCAAGGCACTTCCGCCTTGTGATCATCAGCGCTGCTGTACGATGCTAGGTCTTGTGCCTACTTGGCCTCACTTGCTGACTTCTTGACCTTGCTTGTACTGTGATCTTTCTATACCCGCCCTTGCTTGTTTACCTTTATATATGATCATGCATGTGAACTGGCCTTGTGGCCTTGAACTTGTGCTCGGAATGTGTGGTGACGTTGTGATCCACCCTGAGCTTGCTTTGCTTTGCTTGACTGGTCTTGTGACCTCTTGTTCTCCCCCACTTTGTCTATGGGGGTGTGTCAAACTTATATGCTATAGTTTGTTTAGACTGTAGTGGGGTAGACAATATGGGGTACAACAATTTTAGGTTTTCCTACTTGTACCCACCTGTTTCCTACTGCATTCATTCCTCATTCTTTCACATAACCCTAATTGTTTGTACCCCATATAGCATGACCCACTAGAGGCTATAACATTTGACACACCCCCATAGCCTATCGTAAGCCCCTGGATACAAAGCCCCGGGTGCTGTATTAGTACGCTCGGAAAGAAGGTGGGGGGGTGCACTAATACGGGACGATCGCATTGCACCCGGGTGTTCAATTCCGGGTTTAGTTTTATAAAAAATTGGCCGATAGAAGTGTTGTAAGCGCTATTCACTAGTGAAAAGTACAATGTTTATTTCAGTTTTGGCTCAAGCGACCAAGTCTCAGGAACGTGGGTTAGAATTCACAAAGAACCCGGGCTCTCGAACGTGCCCCAGATTCACAAAACCCACGCGTGAAATGTCCACCGCGCCAAAGTGTTGCACGTTGACAAAGCGCGGAAACCACGAACGTGGGCGTGCGCAGAAGCAAAGAACCACACACTTGATGCTTTTAGGCAGCTCCCAGTCACAAGTTTTCGTCATTCACACCATCCTAGCATCATGTCTGGCCAGGGGCCTTGGTTCAAGCGTGGCGGGATAGTCGCTTCAGACGACGATGATGACTTAGCCGACAACAACACTACACCAAACGAGCTTGACGACAACGACCCGTTGGCAATGCCAGATGTCAAGGTGCCCTCTTTCCTGCGCGCTCACGTGCCATCGGCGGAGGAATCAGAGACGAACCCCGATCGTAGGCCGCCGTCGCCGCGCTCTAACTTGACGGAACGGAAGCGACGCTCGTTTACCGTCCGTGAGAAGCTTATGTGGTGTTCTATGTTGGATGCTACCCCTCCTCCGTCCATTCGATCAGTTGCAAAGTTAGCTAAGGTGCAGCCTTCAATGATTAGGGAGTGGATTAAGCTTCGTGCGCAGATGAAGAAAGCCGCGCCGAGCAGGAAGCGTATGCGCGGCGGTGGTAGGAAGCCGAAGTACCCCGACATGGAGCGGGGCGTATACAGTCGGTACCTCGCCCCGTGGCGTCGCGGATCGCCCGTATCTGTGGGCCTTTTGCAAAGCTGGAGTCGGGACTGGATGAAGGAGCACTACCCCAGCAAAGCATGGGAAGCGTCCTCGCGCTGGTCTTTCTGCTTCAAGCGCCGTTGGGGCCTTTCCGTGCGAGTGAAGACGAAAATGGGGCAGAAACTACCCACGGGTAAGTATAACTGCCACCATTGACAACATCATGTACCTGACTCCGGTGTGCTTCCGTTTTTGCAGATGCCGCTCCGAAATGCGAGCGTTTTTGGCAGTTTTGTCTCCAGATGATCGTCAAGCGGGAGATTGGCGCAGAGAACATAATAAATGCCGACCAAACTATCGTCTACCTCGAGATGCCGCAAGAACGGACGCTAGAGCGGCGTGGCGCAAGAACTGTCCACGTGCGTACAGCCGGCTACGAAAAGGAGCGCATAACTGTCATGCTCTCATGCATGGCGGTGGGAGAGAAGCTCCCGCCGTTTGTTGTCTTCAAGCGGAAGACTACTCCGAATTGCTACACGCCGAAGGGTGAGTGAGTCGTTAGTTTAAGAAGGATGGGCTATGGGCTATCTAATATATCCCTCGCTTACCACATACACCTCTATTGTGTGCGCAAATGATGTTGTTCGCGCGCAGGAGAAGGGGTGGATGGACGAGCATCTCGTCCGTGACTGGATCACCCGCGTCGTGGCGCTGTTCACAGCAACGAGCAAAGGAACACGGCCCCCAACCCTGCTAGTCATGGATTCCTACAAGGGGCATCTCACCCCCGCCGTTCGGTCAACGCTTTCGCTTTCCCGACTGTTCCCCGCCGTCATTCCCGGCGGATGCACGCCTTACGTGCAACCGCTTGACGTGAGCGTCAACAAGAGCTTCAAGGCGGGGATGAGGGCTCTCTACACCAAGTGGTTTGCGGAGGAGGGCGTCAATCTGAAAACCACGAACGGTAAGCAATGATTGGCCATGTCGAGGCGTGCATTTGTGATTCTGTTCTTTAATGTTACGGCTGTTTTTTACAGCGTCATTACCTTGGCAGGAAATTTGAAGAAGCCGCCGGCATCCGTTGTGCTCAAGTGGGTCTCTCGCGCATGGGCCGCCGTGTCAAAAGTTAGAAGAAAGAAAGAGGATTGAACTAGCAAGAATGAGGATACAAATAGCAAACCCTAGAAGGGTTGTACTCGCTATAGAGCACCCCACTACAGGCTAGAACAATAAGATAATATTCTGACACGCCGTGCCGACCGACCTCATCCATAAAGCATTCAAGACTTGTGGCATTTCTAATGCCACGGATGGTAGCGAGGATAATTTGATCCTCGCTCAGATGCGTAGCGGGAAGAAGGTCGAGGTCCTCGAAGACATTGTGCCCGAAGAGAGTCCCAACCCGGGCGACGCCCCCTGTGTGTCTGTCGACGAGCTGCCTGATCAACAGGCTTGCTCGGAGGACTTCTCTGGCGATGACACTGAGGAGGAGGCCGACGACGATGAAGTCGAGGGCGGTGTGAAAGAGGAGGATCCGTGGGATGACGACGGCCTGGGTTATGATTCTGAGGACTCTTAGGTGCTTCACTAGTGTTAGATTCGGCTGGATTGTCATGTGTACCATGAAGTAGGTAGTTTATGCTAACGCAAGAACCCAAACAAGAACCCGAAGAGTCCCCAAACAGTTTGTAAATCTAAGGTAAAACAGGGCTGGTTATATAAGGGGAGGGGTGCTCTATTGGCAAGGCCTAAAAGGGGGGTATATTATTGCGGATTCCATAATAAAAAACCCTCCCCGCATAAACCACCCATGGGTGCTTTATTTCGGGGGGCTTTATATCCGGGGGCTTACGGTAAGTGGGGAATGCCAAGCAACAAGAAACGCAACCTAAGGTCACAAGACCAGTCACAAGCAAGAGAGAAAACAAAGCTCAGGGTGGATCACAACGTCACCACACAGTCTGAGCACAAACAAAGGGCCACAAGGCCAGTTCAAGAGTATACAAGCTAATATATATGGTACACACAAACAAGAGGCAAGAACTCACTACTGCAGTCTACTAGACCCAGTCTCAACGAGGCCTAACTGCAGATAAAACCGGCGGTGGTCACAAGGCTGAAGGGCCTTGGTGAAGATGTCGGCAGTGTTGGCCTCGGAGGCCACGACGTCCGGACGAGCATGTCCACGTCTCTGCAACTCTCGAAGGAGGAAGTACCTGACGTCGATGTGCTTCACTCTGCTCTCCAGTCGAGGCTCACGACACAGGAGAATCATCGCCTTGTTGTCAGCAAACAAGGTCGGTGCAGAGCTCGGCCGCTCACCAAGGTCGGTGAGCAAGAAGGTCAACCAGCGTAGCTCCTGTGCAGCAAGGGCTCCAGCGTAGATCTCGGCCTCTGCGGTAGAAGTTGCAACAGAAGAGGACCGAGTGAACCTCCACGACACAGCTCCAGAAGCCCAGGCTGAAACAGTAACCCTGCGTAGACCTCTGAGTCTCAACGTCGTCGGCGTCGGAGGAGTCGTAGTGATCGGTGAGTACAACTAGCTGTGTCCCTCCATGTACAAGCCCCATGTCTGATGTCGCGCCGAGGTACTTCGCCACCCTCTTAGCCGCCGTCCAGTGAACAGGACGGTGTCTCTCAGTCGCAACAAAGCGAGAAAGGATGCTAAGAGGGAAGGCGAGGTTTGGGCGAGTACACGTCATCAGGTACATGAGGCAGCCCACCAGCTCTGCATAGGGACCACTGGGCTCGAACGGCTCGTCAAGAAAAGGCCCAGTGAGTCTGTGGTCTACAACAAGAGGGGTGGGTGTAGGAGAAGAGTGTTGAAGCCCGAACCGCTGAAGGACCTGCTGCACCATGTGTGACTGAGTCAGAGTGATGGTGCGAGCGGCTCTGTCCCTGGAGATCTGCAGGCCAAGGTAGCGGCGCAGTTCCCCAAGGTCAGTGCAGGTGTGTCTCTTCTGCAGTTCGGACTTCACCTCCGCTAGTGCAACTGTGTCGGCTGTGGCAAAAACCAGGTCGTCAACGTAGACGAGAACGAAGAAAGGTGTGCGCCCACGACGAACAAACAGCGACGGGTCGGCGGAAGACGGCTCAAAACCGAGGTCGGACAGAGTAGAGCGGAGAGTGTCGTGCCACTTATGGGGTGTTTGGCGGAGACCGTAGACCGGTCGTCTGAGGCTCCACTGGGTCCCAGGCGGGAAGGTGCCAGTGAAGCCCGGAGGACGACGCAGCCAAATCTCCTCATGTAGACTGCCCTGGAGGAAGGCAGTGGAGAAGTCAAGAGAGTGTAGCTCGTAGTCTCTCTGCGCTGCTACGTGCAGTAACACCCGAAGAGTGGTCATCTTCGCGGTGGGCGGGAAGGTCTGAAAGAAGTCAACTCCCTCACGCTGACTAAACCCTCTAGCCACGTAGCGTGCCTTGAAGACTGGGGGAGATCCCGGCGGCCGCTTCACCTTGAAGATCCACATGCCGTCAACTATGTTCGCCCCTGGGGGGGAACCTCGTCAACGTAAGTGCCTGTGGACCTGTAGGAGGCCATCTCTGCGTCCATGGCAGCTCTCCACTGAGAGGCCCAAGGCCCTGACACTGCCTCAGCGTAAGTGCGAGGAGTAGGTATGTCAGGAGCGTCGGGGTCTCCCTCATGAGCGAGGAGCATGGCATAGAGATGAGGCGAAGCAGCTGCCAGGAACTCTAGCTCAAACTGTCTG